ACTGGAGGGCAGGTGGGAAACGAGCAAAAATAACATCTCCCTGTTGAAGATATACAGCAATAACAGCTTAAACTGCACCAGCTACATTCCCCTGGGCCTCATCAAACCTGCTCCTGGTTTCCACCGTGCTCAGAGATCTTAGGTAGGCAAGAGACTGCACTAGCTAACTCCCCAGCACTGGGATATGCAGGTAAGCCCTCTATCGACCACTCTTTGATGCTGTTGTCAGAGATCATACCTTTATATCTTCCTATTTTACTGCAGTCAGGGGAATAACTTGCTCTTTTGGAATCACTGTTGTTCCTGGCTGACCTGCTCATTCCCTTCAGATCTGTKACTGATAGGGTCAAGAACCCACCACAGTGGATTGCTGACTGCCCTAATGCTCCCAGAAATAGATAATGTCTTCCTGTAAGGAGCTTTTTCAGTACAGTGTCAAGTGCTCCAGGAACCACATCTTGTGCCTCAGCCAGTAGCTGTAGTAATGATTTCCTCTGGCACAAGGATGCACAGGCACGGTCCCACACATACGAAACACTGTTAGCGCTTGATTTTCTCCGTGACAAATTTAGAAATGAGGTCATGAGAGCTAGCATGGAGCCTAAAGGAACCTATAAAACTCAGGGGCCACTGGACAAGTTATACATTGCACTTAGTACAAGTACATGTACTGTTACATTACATTAGTACTGTTCTGGGTACATGGCTCCTCTTCTGCTTCCAGAAACAGAGCAAAATTTAAAAAATCARTCTTATCTCCCTGTGGTAGCACACAGACGGAGTCTGCTGTGGTCGTCACATGGTCGTCACACGTTTGCTTCAGTGCCAAGTTTCACTCTTTTTTGCTATGCAGTGTTCCCAGAAGCTACAGATACATTTATTAACATTGCTAAAAGGATAAATTCAAACAAGGCCTAAGAGTCTCTTCATGCTCCCTCCGACGCTCCACTTGGGTTTACTAGGACCTGGATTCCTTACTAGGTTTACTAGGTTCTCAAGCCTGAAGCTGCTTCAGTGCCCACGGAGCTGTGGAAGGTGCCCAGGGARGGGGCAGGCCGGAGCCCACACTTCCCAAAACACTGCAAGGCACTCAGCCTCTCGGCGTACTCCGCTGTGCGGTGAGCCAGGCAGTGACTCAGGCCTCTGGACAGCAGAGGAAGAAACAACCGTGGCTATCCGGACACAGAACCCTCTACTTCCACCCCACATGCAAACGCCCGGCCTCAGCGGCACCGTGAGGCACAGCGGTGCGCACTCSCCCGCTCCGGTCTGGAAAGGGGAGCGCAGCAGCCAAGCAGGGCTGGCGTGGGGCCAGCAAACCCGCCGACGCTCTGCTCGGCCACCGAGCCCGAGCCGGCCACGACACAGAGCGCTCGGGCTTCCCACGAGCCCCTTCCCTGCTCCCTGGCCCACGCTCCGGGCCAGCGCAGACACGGGCAGCCCAGCACTGTCGGCACTCGAGCTCTGGGCTTCTCTCTTGCTGCATAAAGCTGAGCAAACAAAGATTAAGGGGACAGCTGCTGGAATTACACAGCTTCGTGGAGATCCCACAGTCGTGCACACATTTCCTATCTGGAAATAAGAAGACATCTTTAACCTTCCACAGGTGCAGAATGGTTTAAGTAGAGGGAAATTCCTCCATTTTACTATTCTTCAAAGTGGATGAATTTGCAAGCAAAGACTAGAAGCACAGAGCAGCAGGCACATTTACTTAGACCCACTACGATTCTCCCCCAAAACCACCTTCTCCCTCATAGACAGAATGTTTCATGCTGTTAAGACTAACTAGCAACAGTTTAGAAAACAATCTAAAAGGCTTTTTTTTTTTTTTCTCCTCCGCTCCTCTCACTTTATGCTTTAGGCAACTAAGAGACCGTGTGATTTCTGTGAAAGAAACAACCCCAGTSTGAAGTTGCTGTACCGCTTCCGGATAACCTTGCACGAAAGCACTGAGGGAACTCCTGGGCCACTTCCTTCGTAAGTCTAGAAGGCAAATAAATGAAGGCAGCCTTGAATACTGCCAGACACAGATGCAGCACATCTATTATTTGTAGCTTCCCATGCACAATCTGGTCGTTAAACACGTTGTGTCACAGGAGCAGGCTTGTCTGGTAGTTTCATGAGAAAGAGACAGCAGTGAAAGACACTAGTAAGGGTAGTAAGTGTGGAAAGTAATTCCAGACTGAAAACATGCTCACGCTTACTATGCATTTACGTACTTTTTGCTTTCTCATCTGAGCCAGGAGACAAGCTGGAGAAGCTCTACAGCTGCCTGAAAGCGCATTCCTCATTGCCATTGCTTTTATGGAGCTGCAAACAACGCGGAATTCCTCCCACTAACAAGGGAAATGGGCGAGAGAGGTGGGAAGGGCTCGAGGTTATAGAAAATTCTGCTCAGGGAATTCAGAAGCGTGGGAAGTAAAACTGTGATTGCCACACAGAAGCAAATTATTACTAGTCTGTGCTTTGTTAAACATGTGACACTCAGTTTGCTCCTATAAAACCGCCCTGAGGCGAGCCCACTTATGCATCTGACTCAGTGTTCTTTGTTTTTGCTGCCCRTAAGAAGGGATGGACATTTTCAGATTGAATCATGCTGCAAAATTACTTCCAACTCCCCAACACATTTTCTGTACAGTCATTTAACCATGTTGCTTAGTGAAATTCAATTTATTTTCATTTCAGTTTGCAAATATCAACAGTAATACAAATTTAAGTATGTGCTTTTATTTTACACTTTCATGGCACATTTTAAATTGTAAACATTAAATTATCACTCCTCTTCTTCATGTGTTGAAAATAACCTTTATCAAATACCTTTATGAGTATTACCTGAGATTAAAAAACATCTGTCATCTTTTACCTTAATTGTGTACAGTACTGTTTGAGGAATTACAAAAAGGAATGTTTTCCAAAATAAGATGGCTTCCTTTTGGCTATAAAGACATAGAAAATACATCAAAATGTATTAGAATCATTAGCCTTATTCTGAGGATCTTGTAAGTCATCGCCTGAAACAATTCAATTAACGCACAGCAGAAATGCAAACTAGTTCAGTCCTGCAGCAGCACAATATCAACGTTGTCATGAACACCTTGTAAAAGCAGCTCCCCTTGGTAAGAGACAACCTTTCGTCGTTTTGCRGCCTTAAGAGTTCCCACTAGAGCTTCAAAGAGGTTGGCACATTTTTCATCAGCAAAGAGCACTCCAAATTTCACACTCACTTGTCCATCAGCATCTAAATCAGAGACAAAACATGCAAACACAGGCAGGTCRTTTTTCAGTTAGTAGATTACTGCAGGAACAGAAGTGAAACACTCATAATGCKGAAAGCAACCCCATGGTGTTCACCAATTGCTATCAACCTGATCCTTCACTTCCATGATGTTTTGTCTTTGTTATAATGAGCAGTATGGAGGAAGATGCTCTGAATGTTCACGACAAACAACAGGCAAAGTTTTTTTTTTTTCCTCCCCATACAGTGGCCTGTATGAAGGACCATGTACCTCTTGCATTAATTTTCACTAATGACTTCTGATRTTTATGCATACTTAAGGTCCATAGTGGAAAAGTGTGGGTGCATTTCTCACACACAAAGTGAGAATTTGAAAGTGTATGTTAAGGTTAGCTAGATTATTCCTAAAGGATATATACAATCATATGAAATGCAAGATGTATATGACAGCTAAATTTAGAAAAATAAACAGAAACTGATGAAACTGATGGAATTGCATTAGAACTGAAATATATATATATATATATATGAAGAGATCCCACATCCCCAAATTGAATAAAACCCACAAATTGAATAAATATTTGCAAAGAAAGTAGATTTTAAACACTGAAATATTCTTTAGAAGAAAGTCTATTTTAGACAAGGACAGGGGAAGATTGGGGCTATATCTCCTGGATTAGAGTTTTAAGCATACAAATGAATGCCCTCCATATACTACCACGATGAACGGAACAGAAGTGTATGAACATTGTACTGCTGAAGTTCAGCAGTTACCAAGGAAGCAGGTGGAGGGTAAAAGTGTAATTCTTTCCTTCAATGGCTGTAGCTAGCATCCTTGAGGTCTAAATAAAAGGGTAATTTTGCAGTTGATTTTAGTGAGAGTAAGATTTCAAGACAACTTCTCCCATGTTGCAGAGGCTTCGGTGTTTAACTTCACAATGGGACTACTTTAGACAATGAATTCTGGAGAGTACTATACAGCAACAGTCCAACCTTAAGCGCATACACAATTTTTCAGGATGAGAGAGCTTGTTCAATTTAACTTGCCAAGTTTAGAAGTTGATATAACATGACTACATCTGTATGGTCAGAGGTATTATAATACTTTATTACAATACTTATTACAATACTTACTTTTGGTTCCCAAACGTCGAATCTCCTCGACGAGGAGGTTAACTTCATGTTCCACATTCATTGTTGTCTAAAAACTAAAATAAATTTTAATAAAATTACCGGGGCACCATGTGTTCTTTGCACATATCCATCATAGCCTGATCTGTTCATCAGGAGTATCACCGCATTTTATGAATCCCTGTAGCCTGGAGACCTATCATTATAGGTTAATCAAAGCTTTCAGTATTAAAAGGATAGAGCCTCCACATTTGTGTGGAATAAAAAAAAATAGAACTTCAGTGCTTTCTAAACTCAYACACAAAAAGCTCACCTCAAAGTGCTAGAACGTCTGGATCTGGGTTTGAGGAATATTTATTTATTTAAAAAAGAAGGAAAGAAACAAATAAATGAGTTTAAGGCCAATCACTATTTCAAGGGCAGTCAAAATCCACAACCACCTAGTTTGGTGGCATCATCGATCTTTGGGGCTCTGCATCCTTCCATCCATGCCCTCAATAAAAACAGAACATCTTTCTTTAAATTCCTCTCCAATGTATGTGGTGGGTGAGTGGCTTTGGGTTTCGTGTTCATTTTAAAGCCTTGCCCAACTTGCTGCTCATCCTGCCAAGGCGCCTCGGTCACGCAGCCTGTTATCGCAGGTCGCTGCGTGCAGCACTGAGAGGGCAGCTGCTGCTACTGCACATCTGCCCAAGCAAAACTCATCCCAAGTCAAACCACGCAAGTGTCCCAAGATGTCGATCCTTATTTCCATTCACAGTGATCCCAAGGAACTATTGCAATATAAAGCACAATCTGGTGCATCTCCCTCCTGTGACAGATGGCAGCTATCATTAATGCACATCAATGCCAGGGAAGTTCAGCCACACACGGCTTAGCAGGTGACAATGCTACAGTTGCACCAAACAAAGGATCTTGGCTACAAAGGATCCAAAGGTAGTAACTGCAAGCACCTAAAATATGTTTTGAGATCTRCGCTGTAAACAAAGCAGCATGAACAGGGTGAAACCTCAAGATGTGGAGCACCTTGAGCCACTAAAGGTGCCAAGATAAGAACATGGAACAGGGCATCCCAAAGAGAGCAGACAGGAAGTGTCAAACGCAGCCTCAAGAGGCGCTGGCAACATAGTCTGGAATCAAAGCGATGGAAAGAGCTTCCGGACTCGGGCACTATCTGAAAGGGTCTGTGTGAGTGCAGGTGCCGTCTCTGTAAGGGGCTGGCAGGCAAGCAGAGTCAAAACTTCACATCTGCCTGCAGGACCAACGCCTCCTTTCAACAACAACAAAAATCCATTACTCATTTATTATGTTAAAATGAGTCAGAGTGATATAGTTTTTACCTCCAGGCCCCTTGTGATATATGCAAGAGGTAAAATACAAAAACATATATATGGAATTTGATTTTCATGATCCAAATTCACTTACAAAAAGATTCATCACTTAACCTGCAAGTTTGAGGCAACCTCACCCAAACCCCTATTGCACAGTAGTGACAAACATCCGAACAGATATTAACGAACTAACACACAGCTTCACAACAGCCCGTACTGCCCGGGTTACCACCTCGGCAAAAAGGGCATTAAAACCCCAAGACAACATGATTTCAGAATTCCAATTACATTAGCTTATGGAACAAATAAACTCTATGAGCTTTCAGATTTTATTTAGCTGAGCAAGAGATATGACCTCTCTAAAACTAGAAGTTTGCAGTACCATTAATAATTTGCCAAGCTAACAATTTAAGTATTTGTTATTATAATTTCACTAGCTTCATTAAAGCTGTTATTTTAATATATATACATATATACATATATACATATATACACACACACACACCATGAATTTAAATAGCAGCATTTAGATAATTTTAAAGAAGGAATCTACAGCACGCTGCCAAATTCTCAAGATCAAACCCAACGATGGTAAGGGGTAAGCAAACGGGAGAAGGGATTCCAGGTATCTGTAAAAACACCCTCGGCTAACCATTAAGTTTACATTGCCGCATACTCTACACGCCAAGTACTGAAGTCACGGAAAGTTCCCTCTCTTGACCGGGAATTCACGCGGCGAGCGCGGGGAGCCGGCAGAGTCGAGCAGAGCGAGTCAGCCCGCGCTGCCCCCGCACACCCCGCGCCTCTCACACGGGAAAGGGAGCGCGAGAACGAGAGGAAAAGGGAGCGCGGGAAGGGGGAAGGAAAAGGGAGCTGGGGAAGGAAAAGGGAGCGCGGGCAGGGAGGCTCCGGCCGCGCCACTCACCCGCCGCCGGGAGCCGCGGGGAAGCGGCGAGGCTGCTGCGAGGCGAGGGGAGCCCGCGGGGCGCACGGGCAGCGATGATGGGGACGGGGGAGGCGGCACCGGCCCGGCCGCGCCTCGCCGCGCCCCGCTTTGCCGCTTTCCGCCTTCCGGGCGGGCGGGGAGCGGCGGCGCTGGACGCAGGGAGGGAGGGAAGGAGGGAGCGAGGGGCGGTCAGGGAGGCAACGTCCTCCCGCCGCTCCGCCCGCGCCGCCATCTTGCGCCGTGGGGCGCCTGGCGTCGCTGCGCTTCCCGCTGCCGCGCTGTGGGCTCGGGATGATGCCTGGAGTCGTTKTACCCGGTAAACGCCCGGGGCCTCGGGGCAGCGCAGCCCGGCGACGTCCCGGCTGTGGCCTAGGGCTCTCCGTCGCTGCAGGTTTCCCCACATGATTTTCTGCCACATGTTTTGTGAAGTCCTTGTGGTTTTGCTTTCTTCTAAGAAAAAAACACTTTTTTTTTTTTTAACGAAAAGCTTTAATGAGTTTAGGTTGACATGATTTACTTAGATAAAGTTCTTTGATTTTATTTGCTTTGATATAGTTATGATTCATTTTAGCCTACTTTTGCTTATCTCCAAGTCTTTGTCCTTTGACACTGTAGAAATATGGAGAATGGAGTTGAAATTTTTGTTTTTATACGTTTGCTACTGCTGTTGCCTTTCCTACTTCAAAGCAGTTCATGTTTTTGCTCAAGGACACAGGCATTAAAACAGTAGTAGGTATTCTTACAGAGTAGGGAGCCTGCTACCAACCCACCAGTCACAGGGAAGGCTCTAACCAAATCTTGAGAAATTTTCACTGCCATAGCTTATGGCATCGCCCTTCCTCGCTGCCTCTCCTGCCTTTTTGTCTGGCATGACTGCCTCCGAAGCAGAGGTGGGATAAGATATTTCCAGCCCTTGCAATTCCCATCTTCATGCCTTAGTTTGTAAAGATGAGACAGATAATTTCATAGACTACGACCTGTGCAGTTTAAGCCTGGTCCCTTACTACATTTTCTCATTCCTAACACGAGTGAAAAAATAGCTAAAGGCATCTCGAACCACCACAGCAAGCTCTGCTAGGGCTCATTTGGCAGTACCTGCAGCTAGATAAATTAATTTGCACGCTAGAAAGCATGCCAATAATATCTGTTTTCATCACTCCAGTGCTGTAAATTTGGAGTCCAAGACATCTCCTGACTTTTTTTATATTGGTGTTTTTATTAGAATAATATCATTGCATTAAACAATTCACTACTTACTTTCATTTAAAAAAATCACAACATCTTCATCAAAATCAGAAAACAGTGTGCTGCAAAAGAGCTATATACTCAGAAGGCAATACCAAATCAAAATATTCTCAGATTAAGCTATATTTAATATGAGTAAAGGCTGTTCTTTTTGAGGAAATGAACCATAACAATAAGCAAAATAAGGAGGTGAGAGGTACGTTAATAATTAAATGAATGAATCTTAAATCTCTCTGAGAAATTTAATCAAGAATACCAATGCCGCCTGAATTTCAACCCACTGCACATAGTATATATTTTGTATACGCATATGTGTATACAAAAAGACACAGGTTTTTATAGTATAGACCCTTTTTTCATCTACTCACGGCCCAAGTTGGAAGGGGTTTCTAAGGGTTTTAAAGTGGCAAAGATTAATCTTTATCACAGAGGCCTCTTGCCTCCAGAGGCAGAGCCAGCWCCCATCCAGCGAGTGAGAATGGGGGAGTCTGTGTTGTGGGGCTGCTGTTTTGTCCCTCCTGCCTGTGCAGTAACCAGCTGGGCTAGCCCAAGGGAAGCAGGCAGACCTGATCCTTGCCTCATCCCCAGGAGGCAATTTGCCTTCCTTGCTGCAGAAGAGCAGGAGGGAAGTTCAGGAAGAGGAAGGAGGGGCTCGTCCTCCCCCAGTACCATCCCAAACCAGCTCACCGGGTGGCCTTGTGTCCCGTGTGAGTTGCCATTCAATTCTGTTTTCATTAGTTTATTGCAAAAACAACAACAACAAAAAATAAGCTGAACTGAATAAAATACAAAGGAGAGAATTCTAGGAAAAATGTAATATCTGAGGAGTGTTGTAACTGTGCATATGAGTACATATTTATGTCACAGCATACTGCTCTTCACAAGATCTCCATTTTGYTGGCCAACATTATATTGGATACTCTCTTAAAATATGTAGATCTTTAAAGAGAAACCAAGATAAAGTTTTTAAAMTGGAATCTAATTACTGTGTTAGCAAATGTGGGAAGTACTCCAGTTACTTAGCAGTACAGACTAGAAAAAAAGGTGCTGTTTTTCTGCCATTGTGGTTAAAAGCATGCTTTCAGTTGGGTTACGTAAGTACTCTAGATTTCTTAATCATCAGAGCAGCATTACATCTGCACAATTATTGTAGTCCTTCATTCTGGGTAATGTAATGGTTATTACAGATGATTTCTGTTTGATGGAGTAATAGTTTGGGACTTTTGGGGCCCAAAGTATTACTATTATTATGAAATCTATGCTAGAAATGTTTTCAATGACTGTTTTGAATCATAGTCATAATTTATAACAAGCATATCAACTATAATACATATGAGAAAGAGAAACAAAGATCTGTAATGAAATACTTTAACCCTTCTTGAGGAATTCAAAACCATTTTTAAAATTCTGTTTCTTGAAAAGAAACAGCCTAATGTATCCAATGTATCCAAGTATTGCTCTCCCTGGGAGCACGTCAGAAGATTACCTAAACGCAGCATGCWTGTGTGCTGGCAGTACTGTCTTTTTCCTGGCCCTTCCTTGTCCTGTGATGCTAAGATAATTCTAGGTAAATCAGTAATCAAAAGCATCTGTTGCTGTGACAAACAGGCCGGGCAGCGTGAGGGGTAGATGGTGATTACGTCATTACAGGGGCAGCAAATATGAAAAAATAGGGAGATGATGTTTTTCTGTTCTTGTTCTGTTCTGGTTTTCTGGGGGAGTTTTTGTTTGTTTGAATTAAATAGGATGAAACGGACACAGGAGCACACAAGACGGATAAGGAGCACATTGCTCACATGTTTAGTAGGTCATCTTCAGAATCATAATTTAATGATGATAATAATTTAAATTCTCCTTATTGCATTTGTGTTTTCCAAGCAAGGAAATTCCATCTTGAAAGGTCTGTTCTCATTTGACCATCACTAATATTTCATACTGTTACCATCTCCCCCAAATACAGTTTTATGATTAGTTTTACAATTAATTAGTTTACAAAAAAAAAAAAAGAGGAATTATGCAACACAAGATTTAAAAATATGGATGGAGAACTAAAAAGCAGGCACACTGGATACAATCAAACATCCATATAACCCAATATTATGCCTCCAGCACTTAGGAGTAGTCATTTGGAGGAACGGTATAATAAACAGGGAAACTAACAGTTGATCCCCAGGCTTTCCCTGATAGCCTAGGAAAGGTTCCTGCTGGCACTTACTGGATTAGACTAAGGACTTCCTGAGAAATCATCACACTGAAAAGTGACAGGTGGGCATTCATCTGTGAATTTGTCTAGTTCCTTCTTTAACCTGCTTCCACATCTTGATGTCTTCAGTTGCATAATTAATTTATGGAGCTATGTGTAAAAAAGTAGTTTTGTTAATTTTTAATGATGTTTTCCTGAGAATTCATGAAGTGTTTCCTTTTTCCTGTATCCTGAGTCTGTCTCCACCATTCTCCATGATGGCCCATGACTGTAGTGCTCCAGCCACCATCTCTTTGATAAGCTTAAAAGCCCTGGTTTTATTTAATCTCTCATAAAATGAATTCCAATCTATGTTGTTGATCCTTCTTTTTATTGTTCTTTGTAATTTTTCAAATCGTCCCAGGTTCTTTTCTGTGGCTGAATTACTAAGACTTTCGGCATTATTCAGCACATGGTATAGCATATACAATTGCATCATGATGTTTTCTGTTTTGTTCTCACTCCTAATAATTCCCAATATTCTACTTGCCTTTTTGAAAACTGCTGAGCACTGTCTACAGTGGTTTCAAAACCTCCCAAGTGGTAGGCATTCACTGTGCTGTTATATATAGTTAGGATTATTTTCTTCCCAGTACATTATTTTGCATTTTTCAGCACCATCTGCTATTTTCCTGTGCGAATACCAAGTGTAAGGAGAGTCTCTGATAATCTGAAATAGAATCATTCAGTCTTTGTCGCCTTTTTTCCCTCGTCAGTGATGACATTGGAATAACACAAGTCCCAACACAGATCCTCCTAGGAGCCYTCTCGTAGCCTCTCCCCTTTGTGGAATGCCCAGTCAGCTTTATCCTTTCGTCCCCTCCTGCCTTTCAGCCTCTTACTGGTTCAGACTGGAGCCCGTCTTCTTATCCCTCATGAGATTAGCTTTGTAAAGGCCTCTAGTGTTTACAGGAAACGTGCAAACAGTTTTGCTGAAGCAGGTTTCTCCAGCCAGGCATGCAGCACACCTGAAAAGAGCAGGCAGAAGAATTTTGCAAGGCCTTTTGCATATCAATGGCCATTCTTTTTTCTGTTTTCCAGCATAAATCAGCTAAGTATTCTTGCTCTGCTATTATTGTATTGATAATATAATAAACTAGGCCATTCTTATTTTGCACAATATTATGCTTTGTTTCCTTATGYGTGCCTGTGGGCGGGCAAGCACCCGTGTGCACCCACACGTGTACCACAAAGTTTTCCGTGGAGATTYTTACTAGCTAAAACAGTGCTAGAATTGACACTGTGATTTGCAGAGTTTTGTGCTGGAAGAGACCATCTCACCTGGCTTCTGATCTAATCCAGACCCCGCCTTGTTCTTTCAGTACATTTTGACAGAAGTTTAGTTGCTGCTGCCGGTGCCGCAGGTTGTCCTGCCTCTCTCCACACATGGAGAGATTCGAGCAGGAGTGTGAGTGTCTCGTGGGGCCCCGTCCCACCACCTGCCCATGCCCTGGCCTCCCAGGAGTCGCTTCTGAGCACGGCTGGGTGCCCTGCTGTGCCACCCGCTTGGGATCCAGCAGGAAGCAGCAAAGCAACTTCGGCCCTGCTCAAAACAAGGTTCAAAAGTATCT